GGAAAAAATATTAATCGTAATTTGAATTTAAAAAAAAACACTCATTTTTATTTGCTAATTCAGTTATTTTCCTCTCGGTTAAGATATATGCTAAAAAGATAGGTTGATTATTATTTTCCAAATTGTTTTGAAATCCCCTCACCAAACAGTAACATGGTGCTGTACATAAACATTGACAGTGGTTAAATTGGTTTCAAGAAGGGCCATTGAAATAGGAAATGTTTTATTGTAGCTCAATGATATTTAATCAGTAATTTAAAATAATTTTAAAAAGATTTTTGATTTTTAAAAATTTTTTTTTTTTTTTATTGTTGAAGTGTGTATATAACATCCTTGAGTTATATTGTGATTAACAATTATAAAATAGTAAATGATTACTTCATAGCTTCCTGGTAATAATCTCCAGTAAGTTTTCCCAGGTAGTAAATTATCTGGTAAAATATACTCTTAATAATCATCATAAAACTGAAAATATCTTTCTTGTAAAATGGTTAAAGTTTATTTTGAATTCAGATACCAAAGATATAGAGTGATGATGAGCAGGTTAGCAATTTTTTGTTTTATTGATTACCTTTGAACAGGAGATTAGGAAAATTTTTTTCAAGAAATGTAAGATAACATTATGCAATCTATATCACTTGACTAAATTAAATATATCAACTAAAGCAAAACAAATAGCTATAAATAATGTTAGAAAATTAAATCCATCATAAAATAATGTTATCAATTTCACATTAAAAAGAATAGATCATTTGAATTTTAGGTATCTAATTCTTCTTTCTGTGTTTTAAATTTTCCTTGTAAATTATTTAAGGATGTTTTTTTTTTTTTTCTAAATTTTACAGGGATCAAAACGGGTGCTTCGGTCAAATGAAATTATTCTTCCTCCTGGTGGATTATTGGAATGTGAACTTGACTTGTCCTTTTCATTACAGGTAAGAACTTAATACTCATTTGATGGAAATGTTTCATCTTTAAATGATATGAAATAATTGAGTTTTATCCATGAGATGGAATGATTGTTAGGCTTGTCTATTTATTAAAAATAAACTTTATATATTTTATTTAAATTCTGTGATTTTAAATATCATTATTTGAGTGTGACCTAAACTAGATGGATGTTATAACAAATTGGTGCAAAAATCAGAAATATTAAGAGCTTTTAATAAAACAATTTTATTTGCAATTGATTTGTTCCGTAGCAGTTACTATTATGATGAAATTAGGTCATTGTTTTAGTAATCAAATAATTTTTATTTTTTTCTATAAGTAGATGAATTTTTTTTTTTTTTTTTTTTTTTTGTTCCTGAAAAAAAAAAATCAAACTCCATTATTAAAGATAACATCATTTTAGTTGAGTATATAGTTAAGTATCAATTTTTAGGTCTTTTAATTGTTAAGGTTCATGTAAATTGTATATTCATCTCACAAATGTAATCTATTAACTGTGCAAAATTTCCCAGCCTTTTTTATTCTAAACCAATAAAAATAATTTCTTTTTTTTTTTTACTGAATATTAAGTTTCATTTTGAAAAAAAAGCTTGTTCTGGAGACTTTTGTGCACACCTAATAACATTACACAGTTTATCAGTATCATATGAATTGAGAGTACATTTTTGGAATTTGATTGTTTTTTTGCATATTAATGTCTGACTCATTGAAGTAAACAGATAATACAAGAAGGATTAATTATTTTTTGTCTTTACTTTCACTAAGTGTGAAACACAAGCATAATCTTTAGATAGGGCTTTTGAAAAAAATATCTACATTGAATAATTTATTCACTGTAACACTTTCCCATTAATTTTGTAATTAATTATTTTTATAAAAGTGAAAACAAGAGGTGTTAAGAAAAAAAAAGCTTCTGCCTCATATTTTCATAATGAACAACATTTAAATGATATGGCAGAATTTATAATTCCATTTACCTCTATATATATCTAACTTAATGGTACTCTGCTTTCAGCTTAACATGGATAGTGTGAGTCATAAGTCATTCAGTGTAGAATAAATTAGCAGTGAATGGTTTTTATTTGATTCTATGATAACTGAGTCGTGAATAGCAGCTGTTATCTTTGGACGCCAAACTTTTTTTTTTTTTTTGCTTGCAGATATTATTTTCTCTTCTGTTGTTTCCTTTATATATATATATATATATATATACACACACACACATATAAGTTAGATGCATTCACTACAGCATGAATAAAAATGTTCACTTTGATTTAACTCCTTATATTCAAGAAGGTGCATATCAACCTGATAATTTGTAAGCTGATTGAAATGGCTAAATTTGAACACTAATTTTTGGCTGTTATTTTCTACTCTTAAATATTTTTGAATCAAGGAGCTATAACTATCTTGTAATGATTTTTTGTTTTTTAAAGTGAAGTTGAAACTCTTTATAATGAGTTTAATAATTGTAGTTTTAGGATAAAATATTGTCTTGTAAAAATATAAGATACTTATTTCATCCCATAATGTTGGATCAGTGAACATAAAATTTACTGGAAAAAATAACTTAAAATTGAAATTTTATCCATGACTAAAACTCTGTTATTAAAAATATTTACATAGAAGCTTGTTTTGCTTAGTTTTAAAATTTCTTTGATTTAATTTAGCCAACCCAGTTAAAAAGTTATTACCACAATATCTAATGGAATTAAAAAAAAAAAAAAAAGATCTGTTTGCTAAAAGACATTTTTCTTTTGTGCTGAAATTAGAATAAAAGTCGTTTTAGATAAGAAATGCTTAGTCATTATCACAGGAGACATTTGGCTTTCTTAGCTGCTGACGTTGAAATTAGTGTAGATAGCTGCTGCTTTTACTTTCTCTTCAGAAATGTTTTCCATGTTTAAATCTCCAGACAGGAAGCAGCTTGTATTGGTCAGGAGACCAATTTTATCTCTTTTTTTGCTTTGAGAATTTTTACAAAGAAGATTCCTTCCCTGTGGAAGGGTGTTAAGTTCACTATATTTTTGTGAGCCATATCTGGAACTGGTGTCTGTTGAATTTGGGTTGTAAATAAATAATGCAAAGATAAGTCTATGCAAATACAATTTTGCTAATTGCTTTACAAACGGGAGTCACAAGAATAGAAGAGGAGGATTTGTAGTTTCTTCTCATCATTGCTTAGGCAACATAAATCTTTTATAATAATCAGTATTTTAGAAACTATTTAACAAACATGTGACTTTATTTTTTGTCTATATGGTTAAATGAATAATGCTTTTTTTCTGCATTTTCCACCAGTATTAGGAGCAATAATAATGAAGAATGAAAGACAAAATTAAAGAGGCCTAAAATAAAGTTGCAGAAATTCTAAACTTGGAATATTGACCCTCTTTGATTGATTCTTGTCACCATGAGAAAACATGCATAATCTGACATATTTTTCTAAATTATTGAATTGTTTGCCTATTGTTTTTGTTTTTAATTCTTTCTCATTATTTCATAATGATAAAAAAAATTATCTTGCAATATAAGTATACCTGATTTCTGATGAACATACTTCTCTACTTAATCTATTTCTTACTTCCTCCACTGACTCATGTCGTGCTCTGTAGATCTGTCTTCTTCACAACTCTGACCACATGGTATTATCTGTAAATTTCTCTTTCCACTCACCTACTATGCAAGAACTCCCTATTAACAGGACATGTTTCTGTTACCAACACACTGATTGGGACTCAATTCGTGATTTTCTTTGGGACACTCCTTAGAATGATATTTTTAATCATCCTGTTGAGAAATGTGCCACTGAGGTTTCTTCCTGGATGAAAACCATCATGGAAATACTAAGTGAAACCAATCTTCTTCTTGGGTCTCTCCTACCTGTTCAGCCACTATAGCCCACAGGAATCCCTCCTATACCAATGCAACAGGTTGGATCATAACAGACACCTCTTTGTAACTGCTCTTAATGAGTGTAAGCATATTATGAAAGAGGCAAAATCACTATTTGTTGATAGAATGAGACACAGTATAGCCTCTGACAAGTTTGGTTCTAGAGATTGCAAGTGGCTCTGTAAGAGTGATACAGAACACGAGCACGTCCTTGGTTCCTCCTCTTTTTAATCAATTTGAAGTATTATCTACTGCAGATAAAGCAGAATGCTTTGCTCGTAAATTCTCTTCCAACTCCACTCTTGGCTCATCATGAGTATCTTTGTCTGATTCCCCTCTCCCTCCACAAAAAAGTTTCTACTGAATGATATGCATATAACTCTGTCCATGATTTCTACTATCATTTCTAAACTAGACCCCCCCCCCCCAAACAAGGCTTATGGATTCAATGGTATCGCTACAATTATCCTAAAGAATTGTACTCCTGAATTGGCTCCTGTTCTCTCCAAAATCTATAATAAATGCTTTGCTGCTCTTTGCTTTCTAGCTTGTAGGAAATCCTCCTCCTGTAATTCCTGTTTTTAAGAACTCCGTACTTTTTGACCCTTCAGATTATCACCTTGTTAGTCTTTTACCTGTTTTTTGGCAAAGTACTAGAAGCTCTAATCAATGCTGAATTGGTTTTGCATCTCACTTCACATGAACTTTCGGATAAAATATATAGCTACTGTTTTTCCAGGTTTACTGTTTTTCTATATCAGGCTTTAGATAAAAATGATAAAGATTGGACTTTGTCTCAAAGGTGTTCCGCAAACTCAAGAGCTACAGTGTCTTTGTATGAAGATTTGGCTTAATCCAATTGTTCTTAACAAATTGTGTAATGAATGTTGTTGTTGAACAGGCACACTTCTAGTTCATTTTACATTAATGTGGAGTCCCCTGGGGCTTTATCTTGGGATCTATTTTCTTCAACGTCCTTCCCAATGTCATCAGTTCCCAAGTAGGTATTTATCCTAATAACAAGTCTGACATAGTAAAACTAGCAACTTCTCTCTCAAAAAAAAACTCCAATCAGTACGGAATGACTAGTAAATTTTAATCAAAAATAAAACTGCTTTCATTTAATCATCATAGAGAACCCTGTCATCAGGGCTTATGGCCACATCATGTTGAAACAGTGGTTTCTGTATGATCACTGAAGTTAAGCAACCAGCCTGATTAGTACTAAGATGGGTGACCGCTTAGGAATACCAGGTACTGTATGCTTGGATGTGTGAATAGTGTAATGGATAATGGCTTGGAATTGTTAATTGGAGAGCTGAGTTCCAATTCCAGTTGGGTTTGTTATATTCACTTTTGCGCAAATACACTTTGGGGAAAGGTATGAATCCACCTCTTCTCCCTCCACCCACAATATATGTTAATTAGTAAGACTCTTGTCTCTAAAACCATTACTATCTCCAAAAATAATAATTGCTTACAAAATACTTAGATTTTGGTATTAAATAACCCATAGAAGTATCCTACACTTGTGTTGTATAAGCAATATACTTGCCAACACAGACTATATAATCTGTGACTTAGCTCCCTTTTATTTTGTAGCTGAGTTTCGTTTAGATAACTAAAGCTTAATGTTTTTACTTCTGTTGTGACTTATTTTACTTATCACAACTTGAACCATTACCATCTCCAAAAATAAAAATCATGTACAAAATACTTAGATCTCATCATTAAATAACCCATAGAGGTTGATATGCCACTAAACAAAACCAACCAGCCTGCCATCAGGATAGGTAATGCTAACCTTGAGGATAGCAACTCTTTGTATCTTCTTGGGCTTGTTTTCCACTGGCATAAAGTAGTCATTATATTGAATCAATTGCTAAGTCTACTGCTATGAAAGTTTGTTCACTGTGCTGTGACAATTTTTCTCATTAGAATCCATCTTGTACAATTATAAATCCACCATTTGTCTGCGTATTGAATCTTACTGCCACATCTGTAAATAATTTTTGATTTTGAAATCTATATTCAAAGGTTATCCTGATGTAAAATTTCATAAAATTTGGTAGACTCCATTGAATTTTAAAATATTTTTTTATCAAAGTGGAGTTGGAATTTACATTTCATGAAAATAAAAACTTTATAAACATTGTCATAACACCTATTTTGACTTTTTATTTATGCAATATAATCAATAAGCATTAGATAAGATGGTTTTAAAAAGAATGTCCCTTTCCTCATAAACAATGAATTGTCTATGCTATACATCGTTTCTAAATTTATTTCCTTTACACCTTTTTAAGATTGCTTTTTCACTTGGTCTACTTATTTTCTGAAATGGGCATACATTTTTAAAAAGGAAATTAATACTAACTGAACTTATAGAAATCCCTTTGCTGTTAACAATTAAGTTCTTGTGATTTTGCTCTTTTTTTCACTTTATGCTTATCATTCTTTCCCAATCACTGCTGCCACTCATTAAATTTTATGCAAACAGATTAGTTTTATATTTGTCGAAATCCAGAATGAACAAATATTTTCTACTGTTTCCTCTTTTCTGTTTTTTACTTGTATATTTCTCCCTATAAATTTTTTTAATGTATTACAATTTTTATGCTTTTCTACCCCTGCTTGTTTTTTAATCCTTCAATTTCTTGATATCCAGCCACAAAATATTTTGTTTTTCTATATTATTCTTTTGTCTTCCAGCCTACTTCCTCTCTAAAGATATATTTTTTCTTTCAAATGACTTATTTACCATCTTTCTTTCTTGCTTTTTACCTTTTTATCCCTCACCACTTGCTCCTTGCCTAAACTTTTCCTTATTTAATATTATGTAGATTTTGCAAATAGAAAACATAACTGGGCAGCAGATACTACACTCTACTCCTTTGTAGAAAAGCATACAAAATATATAACTAGCAGAATAACAGTATAGATTACATGTAATACTTATTAAACATCTTTATTGAAATATTTTTTTTTTATTTATCAGTGAGAAATAATTTTTTGGATCCAAATTAATTTGACATTTTATATTCACATTTAAAATTTGATCATTTCTTTAACATAAGTTTTATATGATAAGATGATTGAAATTTTACCAAAATGATTTATCCAACCATTTGTGTGTGTCTTTGCATGCAGGGTGCGATGGATAAATTGTCGTCTAAATTATACAAAAAATGAACATAACACTGACATCAGTAAATTTATTCAATAAAATCACAAGTGGCATTGAAGCTCTCCAGACGACTTTAAAATCTCCTGCAACTCTTTTGATTGGTCTCCTTGTTTAAGTTGGTGAATGCTGACATAATGCTTGTCTTCAGTTCATCTTTGGTATTACAAGGAGTTTTGTTGGTCTCTTGCTCAATTGTGCCCCATACATAATAATCAAGGGAATTGCAGTCTTCAGAGTTAGGTAGCCAGATGTAAGGGATGATGTAGTCACAGAAATTGCCTGACAGCCATAACTGGGTTCTCCTGCTTCTGTGGTATGGTGCAGAGTCTTGTTGCCAGACATAAGGTCTCCCGGCAGCCACCCTCTTGACCCAGGTCAGTACTACCTCCTCAAGGCACTTGATTTAGTGTTGAGTCTGAGGCCCTGCACAAAGACGAATGGAGACATAACATCGCCATCACTAGTGATCACTCCAAACACCTTTGTAATCACCATTATGCTCATCCAACTCTTTCCAAATCCTTTGCACTGTCCTCAGATTGACATCCAAACACTATGAAATGTTTGTATTGGATCTTCTGGTGCAGATGCCAAGCAGTACAGCATGCGGTTTCAAAATTTCTGGTGGAGTGAATTGCATCATGGTGCTATTTTTTCTCACAGATGGTGCCCAGCTGATCCTACTATACTGTGCAGTCAACAATATCAAAAACAAACACTGGGAATGCACAAAATTCAAAATATAAGATGGCAACAATTTACCTATTATACCCTGTGCAATCTATTTCTTGTCTTAGCTTTGTAATTGATAATGCATTTATATGTGATGACAGTATATTTTTAATTTAATAAGACAGTTACAAAGCAAGTAAAAACCCGGAAGTTACCCACCGTACAAGTATTTGTAGATGGTGTAGAGTGCACAGCTCTAGTGGATTCGGGATGCTCACAGACGCTGGTGAGCAAGACTGTGTGTCGCTGCTGGAAGCAGGAAGAGGTGGGAGTGTTGACTGCCGACGGGAAGACCCTGAAGTGCCATGGATACGGTAAAATTAAGTTGGGCATCGAGCAGATTCAGCCCGTGACTGTTGAGGTTCTGGTCGTGGAAGGGCAGTTGCTAGGATTCGATCTTCTCGGGATTGATGCAATCAAAGTGCTCGGAGGTGTTTACTTGACCGAATCAGGCGAAGCGCGTTTCGGAAACCTGAACACATGTGCCGCCATTGTTACCAACAAGCCTGACTTTAGAGTGATGTTTAACCCGAGCACGAAAACGTGGACTGCATTGTGGAAGTGGGCTAGTGGTCATTCACCTAGCAAGTTGGTCAATAAAGTACAGGTGTACACAGTACCTGGCCACGTCCGGGATGCATACGATGAAGAACTAGCATCGGTGGCAGCGACGGATGGCTACTGCCATATCCCGAGAAAGAGCTTGTCCCACCTAAGGGATTAATTCCCTTAATGGCGGTCGTACAAGAACACAAACAAGGTCCGGCTGGTACTTGACTATCAGGAGTTGAACGGCTTTGTAGATGCATTCACGGCTGACACAGAGGTGTGTACGCAGAAATTACGAGAATGGCGAGACTGATAAATATGTTTATGTAAACAAACTACATGCCCCCCCCCCCCCAAGCCCCATCTCTCTTGTCTTCAGAATTATTCTGCCTAAGTGTGGCGGACATGAGACAGAACCTGGGACGAGCACAACTGGTCGCGACTTGCCTTGTCCCCGCCAAAAAAGAGCCCGTATTTGCTTAGCATGTAAAGCTACTGCAGTTGAAATGAGAGAGAGAAAAAAGCACTTACCGCTCTGCCGTAATCCATCCTCGGCCAGATAACGTAAAAGTATGAGGGGGGGACTGCATCGCATTTTTTATGCAATAACGATGCAATGCATTATGGGACATGGGCGAATGAATTATGGGATCACATGAAGGCGCAAGGGATTATGGGTATATGAACAACTATAAAAGCAACTACTTTTTTCCGAAGTTGGGGGAGTTCTTGAGGGACATTCACGGTTGACGGCAAGAACGGGCAGTTAGTGTGATTTGGAGACAGAACTCAAGAAGGAACGACTCAAGGTTGAAATACCAGTTGGGAGAGCTTGAATTTACTCGCTGGTTACTGTTTTCTTTATTTGCCTTTGTTCCACTCACATTTGGCATGTGTTTTTTCTCTCTTGTGGATTTCATTAAAATGAACCAGTATATATGGAACCCTAACCTTCAACGTGTCACTCATGATGTATTGGAATGATTTAACCATTAATTTCATTCTCTGGGATTTTTAGTTCCAGAAAGCATGTAACCAGTTAGCTACTTAACTGAATTATGATAATCCACTTTCTGAAAACTATTCTTCCTATAATATGACTGATAAATATGTTTATGTAAACAAACTACATGACCCCCCATATCTCTCTCGTCTTCAGAATTATTCTGCCTAAGAAATCACATCAAGCAGATGAATAGGTCTTTATGCAAACAAAAGAGTTTTAGAAAGTATCTTTTTTTTTATTTTGGCTAATCAAGTAGTTTATTCCTTGTTATCAGTTTTACTTGACAAATGTAGCAGGTAGGTACAGGGCTGTATCCAGTTATGCAAAGTTATCTCCAAGTTAATATCCTTATTAACCTTTAGCACATTGGAGGTGAAAATTGTTGCTGTAGAATTCTCTCCCTTTCCAACTTGTTGACACATTCTGTTACCTCGAGAGGATTACTATAAATAAACAATTTCCAGAAATAACAGTTAACAAGGCCCTACTTGCCTAACACAAGTGGGTTCCACTCACCTAATCATATTTGATTCCTGTTGCACTTAAATCAAGAAATTAGTTATTCTATTTAATGTGTTTTAAGATTTTCTGATAGGTTCCCCTTATTGACTGGTTCACACTCTTCTCCAGTCTTTTGAACAGAAGTAGAGGTTTATCCCTTGTTTCCTGTTTAGGATTGGGTTTCCAGTTCCTTCACCTAAAGTCTTCTCATTTTCTGTCACCCCCAGGAACTCCTTGTGTCTTAGTGGCATTATTGCTTTGCTTGGGTTAAAATGAGTTAAGAAAAGAT